CTTCGGCTGGGACGAGATCCGGGACACCACCGTGGTCTGCCTTCTCCTCGTAACCTTCGTCTTCGTGGGCTTTCGTATTTGACGGCAAGGGGGAGGGAGGGGGAGCTGCCCCAGCCAGCCCCAAGAAAACGGCCTTTCCCGTCTTCTGAACCTCTGGCCTCCCGTCGTCTACCTCTGCTGGGGTCCTCCTCCACCCGCCCAGCTTAGCCGGCGCCCTGCTCACCCCTCCGGAGGAGGCGGCCTTTCGATGCCTGAAACAGAGGCCCCCAGACGAAGAGTCCCGAAAGCCCGGGAGTGAAGGGTTTTCCGGAGGCCCTTGGGTGCCCGCTTCCAGGGGTGGCCCTTCTGGTGTCAACTTCTGGGGCACTCGCTCTAGCTGTGTTGTGAAGCCCTGAGCAAGATTGCGGGGCCCCTGCCCCCACATCTGCGCCGTGGGGCTCCTCTGTAACCTTGAAATGTGCGATGTGGCCCGTGGTTGACTGCCAAGAGAAAGAATCTGGGGTTATGCGAAACTTGTCTTTCTGTGAGCGCCCCAAGCCACCGGTGAGACCTGATTCAGGGTAAGAGTAGGATCTGTGGAAAGCATGCCATCCCCCCTCTGTGGTCAGCCTCACTGCATTCCGCTTTCTGTTGGTGGCATGTGAGAGTGGGAAAGCAAGGTCATCAAGCACAAGGAAGGAGTGTTCCTGTGCCCTGTTTCTCTAAGGTACCACCTTGGAGAAGTTACTCTGTGGGCATGACAGCAGAGGAGTACATCGTTTGTTCTCTTGACACCTGTCACACTTTAGTATCCAGAGTTCTAGTCCACAGTGATAACCACATGATGCTAGTAGGGCCAGGCTCATCCTTGGGACAGCATACCTGACACCTGATCATCCCTTTACCAGCCAGCCCCCTCCTAGAAATAGCATGACAAGACTCAGAGCTTGAGTCCCTTGAGTGGCCCGTGCTCCTGTTTAGCTTGCCGTGCTTACCGCAGGCCCCACAAGTCCTTTAAATAAGGCTTCTTGAGGCCCGCAGAAACTGAGGGTTTGAAATAGGCCTGCGGAAAGACAGGAGGCTTGCTGTTCAAGGTGGAGACTTGGTTCGTGATGCAGATTTGGCGGAAGGTGTTTTTTTTCCTATTTGTAATTAATGTTAAGCAGTTGGTCATCATGGTCAGGGATGCAGTAGTAAGGCTTTCTTAACCCTGAGTCGTTGGACATGGAGTGTGGGTTGGCTGTGAGATTGTAGGTGCTCAAGTGTTTATGCACGGGGACTGAGCATAAAGATGTGGAAAGGAAAGCCCTTACAAGAGGTCTAAGGCAGGGATGGGGCCAAGTCTAGGGTCTACACAAAGCCAAAAATGGTTTTGTATATTATTGAGTGGAATGCCTGTCATCAATGTTTTGTGTAAAATCCTTATATAAATGGGTAAATCCACAGCTAGTTCAGCTGGCCTCTTGAAAGCCAATCAGTGTGCCAACCCGTATCCAGAAAAAAAAGAAAGAAAATGAAACTGCTAGATTATTTCTTGCCCCAGAGGTCGGGGGTAAGCTCCTAGGCTACTTTGAAGTGACCTTGGATTCAGTAGTAAAGATCCGGTCAGACCTCCTTGGCTCAGTGGAGGTCGATTTGTGGAGATGGGGAATATACACTTTTAGAAAGAACATGTATGTTATGTTGCATATTTGGAAAACGAGGTACTGTCTTGTTTTTTAAATACAAACTACAGGAAGTGGAGCTTAGCAAAATGTACTGAGGCTAGTGATTCTCAGTCAATAAAATGGGGCATAACAAAGTCCTCGGGGCAAGGGCTTTTTGTTTCTATCAAAAGGGGTTGGGTCCTGTTTTGGCTTTGGTTTGTAAAAGCACTGGTGGGCTATAATAGCATGGGGCCCTTGACATAGATCTCTCAGAGTTTGTTTTCTCTCAGTGGAGAACCACAGCCAGGGTTTCTCGTGACCCTAGAACCTAGAGGTACAGAGAAAGCTCCAGAAGGTTTCAGACTGGGAGTGGGTCCAGACTAAGTGAAGTTTCTGGAACAGTTCATGATACTCTAAGCAGGGTAGTCTATCAAGTTTATTAACCAGTATCCAACCGTAATCCTTTCCCATGGCCCCGAGCTAGGCCCACTCTACTTTGTTAATCTCTATCCCTGCCTGCCTCTACGGCCTCTAGTCTGAGGTCAGATTTGATCTCTATGGACCCTACATCCTACCCTCCCTAAAACTGAGTCTGGGCTCTTCATGGAAAAGGAGGTATGGGGAGGCTTTTTGAAGGACCCCAACTGGCTCCCATGGTAACATTTCTGCCACCCTCCCCCATCCCCACCATACCCCCAGATTGTCCTGAGACTTTCCTTTCTCTGCTTCTTACCTACCTAGACAAGAGGAAGCTGAACTAGACCATGGACCTTAGCCCCTGCCTTCTAGGAACTATTCCCCCATTACTGATGGTGGATGAAGGTGCAGAATCTTGATTCTTTTTCATTTTTTTTTTTTTAAATCACAAAATTCCCTAGAAATTTGGAGAGTCGGCCAAATGGGGCCCTGTTGGGCTCTGTGAAGTGGGCATGGGATGGGGTGCAAGTATACTATGAGACTGAGTGGTTTGTTCATTTTTTATTTTGTTTTAAAGCTGGGGGTACAATTCAGAGTTAGGAACGTAAGTGGTCACCGTACAGGCGAAGTTTGGGCCTCCCACTGGTCCTCATTTCTCCTGGTTTGGGATCAGGTACCCTTACTGATGTTCTGTACCCCCCTTCTTTCAGCAGTGATCTGCTCCTGCCAATCTCATGTGGTATTAGGTAATGTCAGGCATGGTTTATAAATGGGAAGACGCAAGAATCAAAGATGTGCATGTCTCAGGCAACTACAGTATTGCCTTTGGACTTGATCAGGACTTTATTCTTCCTAAGCCCAAACTGCTTTTTCCTCCTTGTCGGGCTTTATTTATTGCTGGGTGACATGACTTGACAGACCCCAGTGTTGAGGGAGTTTTCCCTACTCCCTTCCTTCTGAGGTTCTGGCGTTTCATTCACTGGGTGCAGCTCTGTATGAGCAAAGTTGATTAAGGATAGCATACCGTAGGCCATAGAGTTGTCTGTCGGGTCATGATTGACTTTGAAGGTCCTTATAGCCTCAGCCTGAGCAGCCATCAGTACTCCTTTTTGCGGGGGAAGAGGGAGATACCTGTTTTTCAAACTTGTGGGCCTCCTGTAAGGTCACCAGGCCCTGCGAAAACAGGCTGAGAGAAGGGACAACTGGTAAGTGGTGGTACTGCCTCAGCCCATGCTCTCGAATTCCGTACTCTAGAAAAATGGGCTCTAGCCTGGTCTTGCCTCCTCTCATTCCTCAGCTCTGTGGTGAAGCCACATAGAGCCACCTGCCCATGCACGCGAATCGTGAGGGAAAGCTGGGCACAGTGATGAACACCTGTGGTCCTGGTTACTTGGGAGGCTGAGGCAGGATTGCTTAAGGCCAGGAGTTCAAGGCTAGTACGTAATGATTGTGCCTGTGAATAGGCACTGCACTCCAACCTGGGCAACACAGCAAGACCCTGTCTCTGTAAATAAAAAAATCAATGGAGGAAGACCTGCTTTGCCTACCCTTAGCAGCTCAGCTCTCAGATCCAGCTTGCAACCCTGGTGGGTTTGTGCAGCGCAGCTGAGTGTCTCTCTGTTAATGTGTTAAAGCCATAGTGAAAGTTGGTCCGGACCTCATGACCTTGCATATGCCAGAAACACTCAGTGCTCTGTCCCATGCAGAAAACCCATGCAGAGTTCATCTCACACCATCTGTCCTGAGGTCACAGTGTAACTGTGGATCTAGCCATCGCACCGGTGTCTTAAGGCTGGGGTCCCGTCACTGATCTTGCGGTCGGTTGGCTCTCCTTCCCATCCTGTCTTTGTCCCTTCACCATTCACACCCTCATCCCTGGGAGGGGACCACTACTGGCCAAAAGAAGGCCTGTTTGAGGAGGCCAAGAGCAGGCTCAGATTCATGGGTCAAAGGCCATAGCCAACTGTGTTTGGCTGGCACAGTGTCCTAATATAACTTTAGCCAACATTTAAAACTTGGTCATAAAAATAGAGATCTCTGACCTCTCAAAAAGTGAGCAAATCTGCCAGGGTGCAGTGGCTCACACCTGTAATCTCAGCACTTTGGGAGGCTGAGGTGGAAGGATTGCTGGAGCCCAGGAGTTTGAGACCAGCCTGGGCAACATAGCAAGACCTTGTCTGTGCAAAAAATCCAAAAGTTAGCCAGGTGTGGTGGCACAGGCCTGTAGTCCTCACTACCCAAGAGCTCAGCTGAGGTGGGAGAATTGCTTTAGCCCAGGAAGTCAAGGCTGTCGCGAGCTGTGATTGTGTCACTGCACTGCAGCCTGGGCAACTGTGAGACTCCGACTCAAAAAAAAAAGCAAATCTGCCACCACTGAGCTCACATACCTGCAGTGGCACCATGGGAGAAGCTGAGTAACATCTGCCCTTTTAGATGAGGCGTTGCTTCCAGTTTGCTGTGCTTCCAACAGACGTGTAGTATAAAAGCCCTCTGTCCACACACTTGCACCGTTTTTTCCATAGTAGGGAAGTATTTATTTACGCCAGGTCCATCGAGAGGGATAACCAAAGAAAAAGACTGCATTTCCAGAAAAACAGGTGAGAGTATTTCTTTGTGGAAACTGCTTTGCAGTTTCACCTTCCTGGCCCCTGTAGGCGTTTGAGTTTGCAAATTCCTATGCTACATCATATGTTGCTGCAAGAGTATGCACTTGATGCAGTAGGCTGAGTATAAATCTTATCCTCATTGTGGGATATGGAGAATCTTTTGAGAGGTCTACAGCAATGGCAAGTTCTTAGACAAAAGTCAGAGATCTTTTGGTAACACCAGTTCCTCCCCTCAGCCTTTTTGTGCACAATCCTTGTATACATTGGGATAAACCTGCAGCAAGTCCAAGTTGGTCTCTTGGAAACCATTCGATTCTCTCTAGCCTTGGAGGTCAGAGGCAAGCTCTTAGCCACAGCTTTGCAAGGACCACATGATTTGGTGGTAAAGATTTGCGCCCACTCTGGTTCAGTGAGCCTTGACTGGTTAAAAAAAAAAGTACATTTAATGTTATTATATTTCATATTTGGAAACCAAGGAAGAAAGCTTAGGAAAATAGGCAGAAGCTAGTGATTCCCAAACAAGGAGGTAGACGTAACAGACCTTGAGAGACAGGGAACTCTGTTTTTATCAAAAAGGGCTGGGAGTTTTGTTACTTAGGGATTTTTAAAATTTTTATAAAGGCCCTGATGGTGTCTAGTAGGTAGGACATTTCTCGTGGACCCCTTGATAATAGACCCTCAAGTTTGTTCTCGCTCACAGAAGATCACACCCAGGAACATTCTCTAGGGGCCCTGGAACCTGGAAACAGTAAGTTCCAGAAGGTTTCAGGCAAAAGGGAGGGACTCGACTGCCTGGAATCTTCCAGTACAGCAGTCCCCAACCTTTTTAGCATCAGGGACTGGTTTCATGGAAGACAGTTTTTCCATAGACCTGGGGGGGGAGGCAGGCTGGATATCATCAGGTGTTAGATTCTCCTAAGGAGCATGCAACCTAGATCCCTCGCATGCAAAGTTCACTGTAGTGTCCACGCTCCTGAGGGTCTAATGCCTCTGCTGGTCTGACAGGAGGCAGAGCTCTGCTTGCCTGCCACTGACCTGCCATGCAGCCTGGTTCCTAGCAGGCCACTGACCGGTACTAGCCTGTAGCCCACGGGTTGGGGACCTTGTTCTAGAACATTCCATGGACCTTCAAGCAGGTGAGTTGATGAAACTTTTTAACCATCCAACTCTAAGCCTTTCCGTGGCCCACCCACAACTCAGGCCACTCCATTCTGCGAGTGTCCGTCCCCACCTCCCTCGGGTCATTTTAGACTAGAACCAAACAGAGAGGACTCACTCTTCGCCCCTCGAAAGGAGAGTCAGCTCTGTGAAAGATGGGGTGTCTGTCCCCATGGCAACATTCCTCTTCCCAGTTCCTCTCTTATCCAGTCTTCACTTTCTCTGCCTCTTACCTGCCCTGGCTGCTCCCCACATTGTGATTGTCGAGAAAGGCTCAGGCCTTTGCCTTTTCCCCTTCTGGCCACAGACAAAAGAAACTCCCCAAGAGCTTGGACCAGGAATGGGACGCTGGGGCAAGAGAGGCCCAGCCTGCCCCAGGTGTGCCAAGAACGGGGAGAGGTCTTCCAGAGCTCCCAGTCTTCCGTCATCTCAGCAGGCGCTCGGGTCGCGGCGCCCCTCGGCCTCCAGCAGCTCAAGGGCCAGCGGTGAGGAGGCGGCGAGCCAAGGCCCAGGTGGGGGGGAGGTTTCCAAGGGAGCGTTCTCCGCGCCCGAACTGTGCCCTGACTGGAGACTCTGGGCCTGAGGGGCCCGAAAGCTCACACAGGCCAGCCCCTCCAGCTCTTGTGTCGCTCAGGAGCCCGTCAGGCAGTCACTTAGGCACTGCTCACGCATCAGCGGGGATGGGGACCATCTATCTCCAGGAGCAGCCACAACTGGAGAGCCACGCACTGAATCCAAATCTGGCTCTGTGGCTTCCGCCACTTGGCTCTGATCTCTGAGCAGTGCCTTAGAGATTCAAAGGCTAATCTCTCTCTCTCTCTCTCTCTCTCTCTCTCTCACACACACACACACACACACACACACACACACACACAGTCCCTCAACTGTTCCTCATGGGACTCAGTCCCAACCCCCTTGATCTTCATTACTCCAAAGGTGCCGTTTTGGGGGGCCCTCTCCTAGTGTAAAACTTCAGTGGAAAGCAGAGCCAACCCAACACCTCTTTCAGTTGGTTACGTCCTGTTAACGGGGACCAAGTCACATTCGTTTTTGTGGGCTTCTACAGCACTCTGACAGTCCCCTCTTGTTTGCAAGAGCTTCCAGGCTTCCTTTAAACTTCATCTCATTGGACTTGACCTAAGCTGATCCAGGGTACGTTCCTGCTCTCTCTTCTTGGCCTACGCTCATCAGCCATGCTGGCCACCTCGTGCTCCTCCCGGCTGAGGACAGATGCCCTCAGAAGCCCCTCCATCACTCAGTGGGGGGGTGGTTCGGCAGGCCCGAGAAGGAGCAGGTACCACCCTGACCGGGCCTACAGTCGACCAAGGAAAAGAAGGCGCGTACAGGTGAGGCATGACGGAGCAGAGTGTGCTTCTGACCAGAAGTTCGGGGAGGTCAAGATTTAGAAAAGGCTCCCATGGGTTGGTCATCAGAGAAGGCTTCGTGGAAGAGGCAGCAGCGGTGCTGGGCCCGAAGGACAGCTGGGCTTTGGATGGGCAGAGAGGAAGGGAGGGCATCTCAAGAGTAGGAAGCCCAGGAGTTGAGAGGTGGAAGCTGCGACGGCAGAGTGGCTGGCTGGGGGAGCAGAGAGCAGTCGGCCAGCAAGTCAGCCTCATCATCACATTTATTGACGGCCCCTAGGAGGCGGGGCTGGGGACAGAACATACAAAGACAAGGACCTGCCCTCAAAAAGGTTCCATTCTAAGGAGACAGGGACAGAAAAATACAGAATGGTCTTTCCTGGGGATGGCCTGCTCTCACCGGTGCAGGTCGATACCCCTGGCCTACCTTGCCCCAGGGACCGGGGCTTGAGCGGCACACAGCAGCCCCCGGGCCATGGTGTCTCTGGCCACAGCTAGGGCCCAACCACCTGGCTCCTAGGCGGTAGGCCCCAGAACAGGAAAGGCAGGCTCAGGACCTGGTGTAAAACACTCCTGTCGGCCTCGGCATCGTGCGACCCAGCGGAGCGCAGGGACACAGGCCCTGGGCAGGGCCCCGGGGTGCTGGCAGCTGCCCAGGCCCCGCGGTGAGCAAAGTTCTTTGTCGGGCCATCACACCGGAGACCCCAGCCCGGGAGACAACACAGGCAGCATGTCCGCAGCGCCAGAGGCATAAGACCCTGCCCACCCCACCCCCAGCCCTCTCGGGCATCTTCAGGGACCCTGCTCCCCAGCTCAGCCTCCAGGGCCAGGGCCTGCCTGAGGCCAGGGGGAGGGGCCAGCCCCTCCCCCCACCCAGGCAGTGGGGGGGAGGAGGAGCCACCATCAAGTTTGTCTAGGCACCCCCACGGGGGGCGGCACCCAGGGTCCTACCGGTGGGGCGGCTCTGGCTGCGAGGGCCGTGGGCTCAGCAAAGGCGCCGGGCCGAGGGGGCACCCGGGGGAGCCCTTCAGCGGGGGCACTGGGCGGGAGTCCAAGGGGGGCAGGCTCCGGGGCACTGCCGGCGGCCCGCGGGCGGCCCCAGTGGGCAGGACGGCGGCGGCCGGGAAGGGCTTGGGCGGGTCCGCAGCCGCAGGGGCCGGCTGGCAGAGCGCTCCCGACGCCGCAGCAGCTCCTGCAGCTTCTCCGCCTGGGTACGCCTCAGGTGGGCCAGGGCGCGGCCGCGCTGGAAGGCGGGCAGGAAGGCCTCCAGGCTCTGCTCGCCCAGCAGCAGCTGCTCCATCTGTTCCTGGGACCAAGGGGAAGGGAGGGTTTGGGAGGGGCATGGCCACAGCCTGAGGGCTGGCCCTCTCGCCCTCCCACCCTGCGTCCCGCCCGTGGTGACCACCCCACAGCTGGGGGACAGGGCACCTGAGTTCCAGCCTGGGCCTGCCTCTGACTTGCTGAGTGACTGCGGACAAATGTCCTCCTTACTTATAAAATGAGGATACCATCACCAGACCTGCTGGGTCAGAGATGAGGCAGGATCAGAGGAGGGGACACACTCCGAGCAGACTCAGGCCTCTCCTCAAGACACCCAAGCGGGCCTGGGTCCCCTCTGGCCCCACCCCCACTCCCTGAGCGCTGCGCTCCCAACCCAGCGTGAAGTCTGGCCCGGCTCCTCTGCAGACCCGGCCCTAGGCTGCCCCGGACAGTCATGGGGAGCCAGAGGAAAGCCACAGGTGGGAGACAGGGCCTTGCTGCCCGGGCCGGCTGCGGAAGGTGGACAGCCGTGCCAGGTCTCCTGCGGGCCGGGCGCTCAGGGTAGGCTTCCCGGAGGAGGGGCTCTCAAGCCTGCGACCTACAAAGGAGCACCAGAGCGGGCAGGATGCGGCTCCCTCCTGGCCCCCAGGCCCAGCCACCCAGTCCCTCACCTCAGCCTCCTGCTCGGCTTCCTCCAGCTCAGCCTGCAGCCAGCCCAGCGCACAGTGGGGGCTCCAGCGGTGCATGCTCCCTTCTGAGGGCCACAGAGGGACACAGTGAATCGCCCCTGCCCTCAGGCTGCCGCCCAGGACACACTGGTCCGAGACCCACTGACCCTGTGCGACGCCGTGCTGCCCTTCCCCTGCTGGAGCCTGTTTCCTCATCTGCACAATACCCACGGAAGAGCTTGCACACTCCCCCGGTCGCTGGCCCCCCCATCCCAGTGCAAAAGAGAAAGCAGCGGCTCTGTCTCCCACAGCACCTCAAGGGGGCCTTGGGCATTGGGACCCCTCTCTCCCATTGTCCAGGGGCCCCTCAGGCCTCTCCAACCCAGCGCTGCCCACC